TTAAGTATCTTTTAATTAAATATTTATTCATTCATTCATTATTTATTTATTTATTTATTTATTTATTTATTTATTTGTGTGTGTACACTTGGTGGCAAGTGCATTTGCCCACTGAGTCATCTCATCAATCCCAAATATCTTTAAAGACTTATCTTTATTATCTTGTTTTTTAAAATTTATGTGCATGTGTGTGTGTGCTAAGTGTATACAGGTACCCACAGAGGCCAGAAGGCATGGTTCACTTGGAGCTTGAGTTTCAAGCAGTTGTGATCCACATCATGTGTCTGCTGGGATTTGAACTTGGTCCTCTGGAAGAGCAGGGAATGCTCCTTCCTAATCACGAAGCTATCTCTCCAGGCCCTAAATACCTTTTCAAAAGTAAAATGCATACCCATCTGGTCCCTGGTGGAATTACAGCAACAGAACACAGAGCACCCTCATCTATGAAGAGCTCTTTCAGCCATTCACATGCTACTCAGCATATGTCAGAGGCAAGAAAACAAAATGGTGAAAAGAAACGGAGATCCTGAAAGCAGTGCCTCCAAATGAAAATCTATAAGCCTTTAAAATGTTCTCGGTAAAGAAATTCCCTCTGGCATTGAACCACCTGGATGAATCACGAACCGAGGGCAATCTACATGGTAATAAATCTTCCCAAATGTCTGCAAAGCATGGGGTGCGATGCATGTGTGGGTGGCAGACAGCCTCACCTTCAGGGTCAGCCTCACAGCATTGCAGTTCTCCTGCAGCGGGTTCAGCTTCAGCGTCTCCCCAAGATTGCTGCATCCGGATGAGTGGTGCTGCAGCTCACAGCAGACACATACCTCCACACTGTCAAATTTGATCTAGACAGAGAAACAGAAACAGGCCTCACTGTGAGCATGGCTTCTGGCCCCCGATGGTATGATCAACAGACAGGTATGTGTGAGAAGGCTCGGTTCAAAACATCCCATTATAGCAAAAATGATTTTCACTGACCAGGCTATGAACACCACCAGGAATTACTGCAAATTTCTTTTGTAAAGCAATGATTAAAAAAGAAAAAAGTAGGGCTGGGGAGACGGTTTGGTGCCACACAAACATGAGGATCTGCGTTTGAATCCCTAGACCCATGTAAAGCTGGCGCACAGTGCATATCTGTAGCCCTAGAGTTCCTGTGGAAGAAGGAAGGCAAAGACAGGAGAATCTGGAGGCTCGCAGGGAAGCCAGCCCAGCATACACAGTGGAGAACATTAAGAGACCTGTCTCAAGCAATGTGGAAGGTTAGGACCAACACCAATATTGTCCTCTGACTCCTACACACTGTGGTATGCATGTGCTAGTGCACACACACACACACACACACACACACTACACACAAACGAAAAAGTACATTTAAGTTCTAGAAAACTGCAGGTGAATTACATAAATAAACATAATCTGAAAATCACTCATGAGGATTTGTGGGTGGAGATGAACCTCAATCTATTCTTCTCTCTTAGAAGTTTCCCATCTCACTTCTTGACCTCCAAAATTCCTATTCACCTATCGACATAACTCCATCTCAATCTCAAGAGGCCTGGTTTGGTTTTCCATTCCCACCTCTATTCAACACTAATTTTGGTCCACTAGAGTTACATCTTATCATCACACTATGTGTGGTGCTGATAAACTGTCACTGTCAGTAAATGCTGAATACATTAAAATAGCTTGGAAAATGAAGAGCCATGGAAGAAAACAAATGTATTCTAAGAACTACGAAAAACAATGGTAAACAAAGATAGAATACACAATTCTCAGCAAAAGACAAAAAGAACAGATTTTCCAGTGCCTAAGAGGAAACAGGTTTTAAAAAACTAAAAATATGGTTCAGCTCCAACCCACTCTCCACAGGCGGACTAGCTACCCCATTCTTCTCATCTCTGTCCCTCCCGCCAGGCCTTTATCACAGGCTGGCTCTTACTCTTGAACTCCAAATCCCTGGACTATCTTCCCAAAACAGATTAACCACCCACCCTACCATAGGTCAGTAAGTCCTCACCCAGGCAGCCCCTTCAAGGCCAAATTCCCAGCCTTGGGATCAGGCAGACTGACCTGCTCAGGCAGGACTCTAGTAAATTGGATCAAGCTCACTGCCTCCCTCCTCCATTTCTCTCATCCACCTTCATTCTGTCCCCTGATGGCCTCTCTTACAGGTGGGCTCCACCCCCACCCCATCCCCTGCCTATCTCACTCACAGACAGGTCCAGCCTGGGCTCCAAAACACTCTCCACAGGAGGACTAGCTACCCCATTCCTCTCATCACTGTCCCTCCCCACAGGCCTCTATCACAGGCTAGCTCTTACTCCTTAACTCCAAATACCTAGACTACCTTCCCAAACCAGATTAACCACCCACCCTACCACAGATCCCTAAGTTCCCATTCAGGCAGCCCCCTCACAGCCAAACTCCCAGCCTCAGGATCAGGCAGACAGACCTGCTCAGCCGGGACTCTGAACCAAAATTAAATTAAACAAAAGCAGAGTAGAAGTTCCTGCCGAACACATAACCAACAAGAACATATATATGCCCAGACAGCAACACAAAAACCCAACAAAACCCACGAGAAGTGCAGAACATTGAGAACCACCCTGTAGAACTCCAGGACACAGAATTTAAAAGAACAATCATAAACATGATCAAAGAATTACAAGAAAACACAAACGACTCAAAGAACTCAAACAGGAAAGGCATAAACTTTTGATGGAAGCTCAAGAACATACAAATATGCGGCTTAATGAAATATCAAAAACAATTCATAATTTGAAAAGCAAATTTGAAAAGAAAGTCTCACAAGCAGAATGAATGAAATGTAAAAACAGACTATCAAGACTGGAGGATAAAGCTGAAGATCTGGACTCCTTAAGCAAAGACTATGCAAAATTCAAAAAACAACAACAACAACAACAACAAAAAACCACAGGAATGGAATACTCAGGAAATGTGGGACAACATGAAATGACCAAATCTACATATTATAGGCATACAGGAAGGAGAAGAAGATCAAACCAATGGCAGTGAACAGATCTTCAATAGGATTATAGAAGAAAATATCCCTCAGTTAAGGAAAGATATAACTATAAGAAAACATCCCTCAGTTAAGGAAAGATATACCTATAGAGAGTCAAGAAGCACAGAGAACACCCTTAAGACATGATCAGAACAGAAAGTCCATGACATATGATAGTAAAAACATTAAATGCACAGAACAAAGAGAGGGTACTGAAATCTGCCAGAGAAAAAAAAGTTACATATAAAGGAAAAGCCATCAGAATCATAGCTGACGTTTCAGTGTAAACTATGAAAGCCAGAAGAACCTGGAACAAACTATTCCCAGTTCCAAACAAGCATGGATGCCAGCCCTGAATACTTTATCCAGCAAAACTATCTATCAAGGTTGAAGGGGAACAGAAAATTTTCCATGGCACAAATGGGCTGAAAGAATTCATATCTTTAAAACCAGCACTACAGAAAATATTTGAAGCAATACAAAGAACCAAAGAAAGGAATGAGTATGACCAAAATGCTTAGAAAGAAAATAAAGAAAGGTATAACAACGGAAACACAAAATAGGGCCACAAACACAAAGAAATTAAAATGACAGTACACAATCTGCACCTTTCAATAACAACACTAAAAATCAATGGCCTCAACTCCCCTGTCAAAAGACACAGGCTGGTGCAATGGATCAAGAAAGAAAACCCATCTTTTTGTTGTCTTCAAGAAGCTCATCTCACTTCCAAAGATAGACACTATCTTAGAGTGAAAGGATGGAAAAAAAATATTCCAAGCAAATGGCCATAAGAAGCAAGCAGGTGTTGCAATTTTAATATCTGACAAAATAGACTACAAATTAAAAGTCATCAGAAGAAATAAGGAGGGTTACTTCATTCTAATCAAAGTAACAATTGACCAAGAAAATATTATAATCATGAACATTTATGCACCAAATTTTGGAGTACCCAATTTCATAAAATCAGTAGTCCAGAACTGTAAAACAGAGATTGGCACCAACTCAGTGATAGTGGGTGACTTTAATGCCCCACTTTCTTCAATAGACATGTCAACTGGACAAAGAATAAACAGAGAGACATTTGAATTAAATGACATACTATATGCAATGGACCTAACAGATATATACAGAATATTCCACCCAGCCACCAAAGAATACACATTCTACTCAGCAGCTTATACAACGTACTCTAAAATTGACCACATTTGGGGGCACAAAACAATCTCAACAAATACAAAAAAACCCTGAAATAATTCCATGCCTTCTATCAGACCACAGTGCAATAAAGCTTATAATCAACAGCAAAAGAAGCTATAGTAAATACACAAACTCGTGGAGATTAAACAACACACTCCTGAATCATGAATGGGGCAAAGAAGAACTCAAGAAAAAAAAAGTATTCCTGAACAAAATGAAAACAAGAACATAACACAATAAAACCTCTTGGACACCCTAAAGCAGTCCTAAGAGGTAAGTTTATAGCTCTTAGTGCCTACATTAAAAAATTGGAAAAAGCACATGTAATTGACTTGACAATACAACTCAAGACTCTGGAAAGACTAGAACAAACCAACCCCAAACCTAGTGGGTGAGAAGAAATAACAAAATTCAGAGCAGAAATTAATGAAATAGAAACAAAGAAAGTAATACAAAAAATTAATGAATCTAAGAGCTGGTTCTTTGAAAGGTTAAACAAGATAGACAGACCCTTAGCCCTGTTAACCAAAAGAAAGAAAGAGCAAATCCAAATTAACAAAATCAGAGCTGAAAAGGGAAACATCACAACAATCACCAAAAAAATCTAAAATATTGTAAGGGAATACTTTAAAAATCTATATGCCATTAAATTTGAAAGCCTAAAAGAAATGGATGAATTCCTAAAATTATGACCACAACCAAAGTTAAACCAAGAGGAAATCAACAGCCTACAGACCTGTAACAAATAAGGAAATTGAAACAGTAATACAAAACCTCCCAACTAAAAAAAGCCCAGGCCCAGATGGATTCACAACAAAATTCTACTAGACAGTCCAAGAAAATCTACAACCAATACTGCTTAAATTATTCAAAAAGATAGAAACAGAGGGAGAACTCCCAAACTCCTTCTATGAAGCCAGCATCACTCTAATACCAAAGCCTGGTAAAGATACAACCAAAAAAGAAAACTATAGACCCATATCCTTAATGAGCACAGATGCAAAAATTCTCAACAAGATGCTTGCAAACCACATACAGACACACATCAAAAAGATCATCCACCATGATCATGTCAGCTTTATTCCAGAGATGCAGGGCTGGTTCAACATTTGTAAGTCAATAAATGTAATAAAACATATAAATGAACTTAAAGACAAAAACCACATGGTCATCTCAATGGATGCAGAAAAGGCATTTGACAAAATCCAACCATGAATTCATGTTAAAAGTCCTAAAAGGAATTGGTCTAGAGGGAACATATTTCATCATAATTAAAGCTGTACACAACAAGCCCATAGCCAAAGTCATCCTAAATGGAGAAAAACTGGAAGCATTCCCATTAAAATCAGGAACCACACAGGGCTGTCCACTATCTCCACTCCTTTTCAATAGAATGCTTGAAACCCTTGTAAGAGCAATAACACAAGAGAAGGAAATTAAAGGAGTACTAATTGGAAAAGAAGAGGTCAAACTATCCCTATTTGCAGATGATATTATACTTATGAGATCCCAAAAATTCAACTAGAAAACTGTTAGAATTGATTAATGCTTTCAGTAAAGTGGCAGGAAACAAAATCAACTTACAAAAATCAGTAGCCTTTCTATATACCAATAACA